TGCCTCCCTAGCATGCATGACGTAAGAGTTCACTAATTAGGGGTTTCCTTACAGTCAGAGTGCATCTTCCTGAGAAGTGAGGAGCAAAAAGTCTGTGTACAAATAAGCTTGATATGTAAAACAATCTGTCACATTCTGGAACTCAAGTTCTAGAACAAGACTAAAGTCCAGAAATTGACAAACAACCAGAACTTTCCGCCTGAGTTTACAGCCAGTGAACACAAAGAAAAAGAAATCCTAACATCACTGCAGCACTTCTGATCTCAGTAAAATATGTTTTACTGTTTCTGTGCTATCAGTGACAAAAAAATTTGATACTGACTGAGAAATTATTCAGTTAGAAAATTTCCTATCATTCCAAACCCAACAAAGACTGATTCTAAAAACAAAAAAAAAATATAAACTCATGCACTTACGCCGAAATTGAAATATTTTCCAATGATTTTTCAGATGATCTTGAACTTGTTTGATGGCAGTAACAGCACTGAAAATATATTTATGCACATACTTTTGTACTGAATTCTTGAACATATATTCAATGATGAAGAGATATTGTAAAACTAATAACACAGGAAAGCAAATGTTATTTGATACACACACACACAAACAAACACTAGTGCAGTGAAACAAAACAGAGAATCAAAGTAAGGGGTCTGATTGGTTATTAGAATCAGGAAAATCCTAGGTTGCAAGAAATAAGGTAGTGAAAGAGAGTGAAACTTTGTGAATGTGTGAACTTTGTGGCAACATGGGAGAACCCAGGGAATAGTCGAATAGGGATTCATTCTGCCACAGGACCCCAGAACTGGAGGGTGTGAAAGCTGATTGTCTGTATAGAAATCTACACTGAATGAAAGCTGAGAGAAAGGTAATGCTGATGTGTTGCTACTGAGTACTGACTGGGGTCGTGTACATGTCAGTAATAGACACTGAAGGTTTGGCCGTGCGATCTAAAGTGCAGATAAGTGGAACCTGGATATGTGAAATAAGTGTCCTGCTGTAGATTGTCCCTAGGCTGTTTGTTAGACTGCAGGACAGACTCTTGTAGTCCATGTACTGTGCTCATTGAATGCGAAACTGTCATCAACTGTTATGTGGAGGAGTTGCGGGAGTTTGATAGGATAGAAACTCTGTGAACACTAGACAACGACCAGATTCTTACTACAATAAAAGAAACATTACAACTAGGCTGTACATGCCTAACTAAAATCGTCAACTTCATGCCGATAAGCTGAGGTCAGGGTTATTCAATTATGTTTACTTAGGGACCTACATGTTTAAAATGGGGGTCTTCAAGAGCCAGCACTCAAGCCCCAGCTTAGAAAGATCATTAATACAATACAATAAGCAAAGATCATTGGCCACCGGCTAGGCCTCTGCTGGCCGCCAGTTGAATAGTCCTGGCTTAGGCAGTCATGTTTTGCTATCTCATACGGTAGGGAAATCTGGCATCCAGGGAAAGTTACCATTATCAATGGCTAAATCTCTCCACTTCCTGAACAATTCAATTATTAGAAAGAACCTTACCTTTCTGATGGAACTATGGATCCAATGTTGCCTGCAGCTCCTCCTGACATAACAGACACACATTCTGCCACCATCTGTGAGCTAACATCTACGTCACTAACTTCCAGGACTTTGCTCTGGTTGCTCTCATTTTCTATCAGCAGAAGTAGCCTCCCTTGTGCCAGACCTAACAAGAGTTGGGTTACATGGCCCAGACACGCAGGAGTCAACGATTTTTGGCTTACCTGGTCAGTGAAGTCAAGAATGAAACAGCAAATGTAATAATAATGTCAGGATAGTCACACAGTTATAGTTAAGAGTTAGCTGCATATCCTTTACAAAAGGCTGCAGAACCAATTCCAGCATTTTGTTGTTGCAATTTTTGGTTTTAACAGGCAATTTTACATTCAGTAGTTTGCCACTGTTTTATAGATCTTAACATATATTTAGAGTAAATCAATATTAGATGTAATTTATAACAATCATTTCCAATGAGTTCTTTGGTGCCAAATTTATTAGATAAAACTGACCAGTCATGAATAGTCTTTCAACAGCAAAGAGCTGAAACAAGACCACTAAAGACTCAATGCCGCCATATTGTCTTTGAGATTCTCAAATGGTGTTAAACACTGTATAATGTTGTTAAAAACATAAAAATGGTTCTTTTTAACACCATTTTATGTCCACTGGGTGTTTCACTATAATCCTAGTTTTCTGTCCATTATTTGTTTATGAGAACTATTCAGCATATTTGTTGTTTCATAACACCTTATGTTCGGCCAACTATTTACATGATATATCCTTTCCTCTTTCTTGGTCTACCGCAGCTAGTCACTATATTCATTTTTTTAAAGGACCCTTCACATCTTTGGTGCATCAGGCATATGGTTCTATACCCATATTTGTATAAACTAGCTGGCAATCAACTGGATATGTGGTCTAAATCATGTAACCTTTTCTTCCCATGACATTTCCTGGGACTTATTTTAGTCTGGGTAGACCCGGGAACCGGTATCAGTTGTGAATATCTGTCATAGTGTGGATTTGAACCTAAGACCTTCAGACAGGCAGACAACCACTCGCTGTATCACTGCAACTCTCAGATTCAAATTCTTATAGTGATAGAGATTTTACAACTACAGCTCTAGGAGCAACCCAACTTTCAGAAAAATGGGTGACAGATAATTTAAAGAAACATTGAGAAAGAATATGTAGTGAGAAAGAGAACAGCTCACTTCACCTCATTTTATGGTGACTGTCTGAAATCTCACCAGCCATGAGATTACTTGTAATTGGGTTAGCTACATTTCTTTTGTTTTTATTATCTTATAGTCTTTTGCCAAGCATTCTCTTGTCAACAACCAACATACTGTTGCATGTTTCCGACTTTCCAGATGATAGTATTATACTGTGCTGTGGAGATGCATGAGAATCACAGCCCATGGCCATGGTGAGCATGACTAGCAAGACCTGCTGTCATTAAATCCCTAACAATTAGAGCATGGGATTGCCAGATTATTTGTGCTATATCATATATTCGACAAAGGTTGTGGGTTTGAGTCCTGACGAAACTGGACTTTTTTCATAAATGACCTTGGCTCCCAGGTCGACCCAGCCTTGAGTAGGTACCAGATGCAATCCTGGGAAGTATAGGTGGCCGGCGTGATGCTGATAACATCACCCACCAAATGCTGACTGGTCTATAAAATATAGGTCTAGCCCTATATGCCCAAGATGAATAAGGCGTGGAAAAGGGTTCTTTACTTTATTTTACTTACTATTTATTTGACAGGCCTTTTTTCTTCAGACTGTCAGAGCCCTGTGAGTACAGTCATGTGGCGGAGTAGACCATAAAATGGGTAAACCGTGTTCAGGGTACACCCCAGAGTTGACACCAAGGTCAGTGGCGTGACTGGCCAAGTATGTGCTGTTTGCGACGGCGAAACCAGCGCTCAGTAGAGACCACTTGAAGACTACAAGTAAGAGTGAACTCTTTTCCGAGCAGGTTCTCGACATGCTTGTTCCATGACCTTACTGAGCGGGTTAACCGGTCAAAAGGCATGAGGTGAGAGAACACAGGAATTGGACGTGGAGAGTTTGGACCGAGAGGACATGTTAGCGAGACAGAGATAGAATGTGAGAGTTAGGATATTACTTTAGTGACTGCATAGATGATTTACAGTGTTATGGTATAATAGGATGGTCTTTTTGTGCTGTGTATTTAAATGGTATAATGTATTGTGTTGTTTCACAATGAGTAAGTAGTGTCCATTTATTTCTGATAAGTTAAATCAGTTAGATGCATGATTTGTGAGCTAATGGCTAGCCTTGTCACGCTGACCCTGCTCTAGACAGAAGCTCTGACATCTTGGTGAGCTCAGGCGACAAGGTACAAGAACGTCCCACGCAGAGGTGTGGTTTGTGCACCTGGTATTGCCTAAGGTAACAGACTGGAGAGCAAGTGATTGTAAAGCTCGCTTAGCCAGTGTTCCAGGTAATAGGTGGCTTTACAGTGGAAACTAAACTGTCCGTTGTAATATCTGTACTTACATTAAAGATTGTCATGTGTGTTCTGTTTGCATTTGGGTTCAGTCTGTGTAAGGTATCGATTGTCTGTCAGAGGACCACTCACGAGCCACGGACCATCAAGGTCACCCAGAGGTCTGTTACACAGATGCTCAGTTCTTAATCAATCATCTGCAATTATTTTATCTTAGAGAACAGGACTGTTGAACTGACTTCCCGGGGGGCCAAATCTGGCCTGCAGAGGCCTATCAAGTGGCTCACAGTATCACCTACCAACTGTATTGTATTAATGATCCCCATTTTCCAACAGTTTTGCCCCTGAGTTTACTTAGTTTAATGATCCTACTATAGAACAAACATTTAGTATAATGAAGCATGCCCTTCAGTCCAGAAAGTGTATGAGTGGAGTAGGAAGTTTTAAAAAGCATGGACTTTTGTGACAGACTGTTCATAACCGAGTCAGGTACACTGAGTAGTGAGCCGATTGCTGCCACTGAATGCCTTGTACAGGAAAACCACTGATTGACTGTGAGTGACAATGACAATGTCTATACTGGATCATCATTCGTTGATGAATTCCTACAGGTTTCACCTCTTCACCGATCAAAGAAATGGATAATAGAATGCATGTCAAAAGTGGGTCAGCCATCTTTAAACTATCATTATGACATCACCATGTTCATCTGCACTGTAATGTCATGTGCTTAACACTCTTAACATCCTTAACAACAATACTGACAGGTTACAAGACAATGGTATGGTTACTGTGAATGTTATCAAACTTCATTTCATTTGAAGCCACCTGTTATCTACTCTTTACCATACCATCATACATTACATCTTATCATCCTTATTTTTGAAGCCAATTTGACTGGCTTGGCTGATTACACTTCTCCACATCTTGCAATCTCTCCTGGTTTGTTCCAGTAAGATAAAAGAAATAGATTAATATCTTAATTATTTATTACCTCATTTGCTGGAGAGGGAGTTTTCCATGTGAAAATGACAAAATCTGGACAAAACTGAAAAAAAAAAAAAGACAAAAACAATATGGATGCAATATTTATAGTTACCTGATTCATATATTTACTATGTAACAATGAAAATCAATCTTGTTGTCATCATGATTTCAGACAAAATGTTATAAAAAAATGTAATGACAACTTCCAAATTAAAAAAAAAAAAATTTACATATAAAAGGAGTGATTATTATTCTTTTTCTGTGTTAACCCTTAAAAAAAGGTGATTGTGTTGCGGTTAATAGTAAGGTTGCAATATGTGCACTTTTCAGCTCAACACATATGAGTTAAGCATGTTCTTAATGAGCCGCCTTATACAAAATGCTTGTTAACAGCACTGTAGATAACCCAGTTCTTGGCACCTTTCCATCATTCCAGACGACAGCATTTCATTGTGCTATAAGAGGGCATGGAAGTCAAAGCCTATGAAAGAATCTTCCACAAAAAGTGCAGAGTTTTATCATCACACATATTTACCATATTTTTACTCAGATTCTGTGCTCTTAAAATGCCTGCAATCTTTTTCTCCTGTGTTCCAAGTCCCTTCCTAATGTTCCCCATCCATGCAATGTGATTCATGGCATCCTGTTCTCATGAATCTGCCTCAATACCTGTATCATTCATGACCTGCTTGAGACATCTTTAAATCACAGTAGGCCTGGCACTCTAGCGTAGTTGGCTAAATCGGATTGCATGGTGATCACTCCTTGTCACTTCACTCCGGGGTAGGCAGAAAAGCCACATTTCTCCCAGATTTACGGTATTTACAATGGAATCAAGGCCGAAAGGTTGCGATATCCATAATACCGAGCCTAAGGGTTAACAACTCATGGCTTCTGGATACTAAAACAAATAAACAAACAAAGAAATCACAGTAGACGCCAATGCCAACATCTTCTATACATTTGTAATTCACCAAAGAGAATGTCCTTAGGGATTCTATCAACCTCCATCCTCTGAGAGTGTTTTAGCCATCTGAGCCTTCAAAGATAGAACGTTGTGAAAACCTGTGATAACTTACTATGATTAATCTAAACTTCATGTCAGACAAGATTTTCATACTTAATATCAGACAACCTGCAGTAAACAATAGCAGTCGAGGTTTCAGCTTCATTGTAAATGGGTCATCCCATAACTGTTCCATTCCTGTGCCAGAATTAGCAAAAATCCTACCCGTACGATAGGACCATTAAACTGGCAGCCCATGGGCCAAATCTGGCGGATCATTGCTAAGTGTATTGTATTAATGGTCTTTCTCTTTTAGGGCTCAGGCCTCTGACTCTTGAAAATTCAAATTTTCAACCTTTGGGCACTGGGTAAACAGGTGAATAGCCCTGCCGTATGAATTCTGTTCTTAAAAATAATATTTGGTGGGGGGGGGGGGGGGGGGGGGGATAGATCCAGTGTACCTTAACACACATGTTTGTAGAGGCAACTAAATAATAAAATGCCCAAACCAGATGTGTTGGGCGAAAAAGCTCAAATATTGCAGCCTTGCTGTAAACCACAACACAATGTCACAATAATCTTTTAAGAGGCGAAAGCAAAACAAAAGGAGAAAGCCAGAACCCATTTTTATGATGGGTCAGCCTCAGGGTGGCACTGGCTGAAAAGAAAATTGGATTATTTCAGGGACTGTTCATGGACCACTGTCTCAGCAAGCAAAATAGGACACATAAAATACACGAACATGATATAAACATTTATTTCTTCTTCTTCTTTTTCTTCTTCTGGGTGGTTTGCATGTTGTGTTTACAGCTAGGCTGCACTATCTGCAACTTTTGGCCCAACCGTTCAATTTCAGCACACTCCTAAATAATCTGTTGGGGAACAGTGAGTTAATGGTCCCCAGAGCCCACATGTGATATAAATATTTATTATATACCTCGTATGATACAGGTAGGATGACTTGAAACAAGACTGACATCAGGTCTCCGTTGGTTATGGCATTCTGAAAATGTTTTAGAGAACAGCTGCACTAAATTTAAAAATAAAGAACAAATCTCTTCATGTCACATATATTGTAAGAATAAGATATGGCTTATAAATTACAGTAAAGAATGTAAGAAATATAATTAAAATAGGGTTTTACTTACAGAATATCTATCAACTTCATTCCTATTATAAAGGCATGATCAAATGACACTGCCCTATTGCTTTTTAACAAACATGTATTAGCAGGCCTATTCTTCTACTTCTTTTGTGTTCGCCTTTAAAAGGGTGGCTGGCACACTGGGTTGCAGTTTACAACTAAGCTGAAATATCTGTGCCTTCGGCAAATCTGTAATTAGTTGCTTTTTATGGCAAAACAACTGGGGCCCTGGAGCCCACACATGGAAGCAGGTTTATAAGCTTCAGTATTACCAATATACATGTGGTTTTACCATACAGGGAAAGCTGCTGTGGTGAAGCGGCTAGACGCTTGCCTGCAGACCTGAATGAAGGTCTTATGTCCAAATTCAAACAAAGCCTGACTTTTCTTTTTTAAATGACCTTGTCTCCCAGGTCAAACCCGCCTTAAATGGGTACCAGGTAAAGTCCTGGGAAGTAAAGATAGCCAGCGTGATATTGACCACATCACCCACCCAGTGCCAACTGGTCTATAAAATAAAGATCTAGCATTATATGCCCAAAGCGCCTAAAGGATTATTCAGCTGGCGGCCTGTGGGCCAGATTTGGCCCGCAGGGACCTAGTAGGTGGCCCACAGAACATTGCAATTTGTATTGTATTAATGATCTTCCTATACTGGGGCTCAGGCCTCTGGCCTATGACAATCCACATTTTCAAAATGTTGGCCCATTAGTAAATTTAGTTTAATAGCCCTGCTTTATTACTTTATCATACATGGAGTAACTATTTTGTTTATGTTCAATAGTATAAAATAGGGTGAACACAAGAAATGTGACTATAATTATAATGGAATCACTATTTACAAATGTGCATTTTCCTACCCCATTACCTCTTTAATATTAATATGTACATGTTGAGATGTCGGGTCAGCATTGCGATTTTCCCTGCAAGTTGTGTCCCTTGAACAGTGGGCTGAGTCTGTGGTTTTGTTTCCTTCTGATTCTAAAGTCACATAAAGGACGCTGGGGAAACAATATTTGTCCACAGTTTAATTTTACGATTCTTCGAATTATGAGTTGGGTTATCCCCACAGCATTCTCGATGTGTCCATAGGTGCTCACATTCCCCTTCTAATTTACACATCAGCACCCTGTGGTATTAATTCCAGTCCTAAACGGATTGACAAGACTTCTGAAATGGCCGGAGTGCATCTTGTTACTGGCTTTATAAAAATGATATTATGTCATCCCTTTGTGGATGCAATTTTTCTTTATTTGAAGCCCTACTCTGGCTCTTGCCAGGGGCCGCAATATAGCCCGGCCATAAACATAGTCTAATGGCTGAACGCGGTTTCTGGGATCTCTCCACGGGTGATCCTCATCCACATAGTGGCACTCTGTGTCATCGGGTGTTTATCGCTTGTGTGATGTCCTAGTGGGGTAAAAGAAGAAGAAGATACTGGCTTTGTTTATCTTTACTCCCAACTCGTACATTCTTAGCAGCGATGTGGAAGTACTGATCTCAAAATGCTCCGACTGTCTTCTCTCTTTACGGCGTATGATTCTAATATCCAATCATTACAGATGAGAAAAAGACAAAACGTTAATCAATAATATTAATCTATTATCAATATGTGGCAAATGTGCAAAAGTTAATATAATGCTGACTGCCTTTACTTTTAAGAACATTTCCTGGTACCCATTTTAGGCTCATGCTGCCTTTTAAAGGGATTCAAATACACGACCAGAAGCCTCAGTAGTGTAGTGGCTAGACACTCACCTGCCAGCCCAAAGGTCTAGGGTTCAAATTCGCACTCAAATGGATTTTTTTAAAAAAACTGACTTTGGATCTCAGGTAAACACGGGTTAAAATGGGCATCAGGTAATGTCCTGTGAAGAAAAGATGGCTGGCATGATGCTAACCACGCCCCCACCAAGTGCTGATTGGTCTAGACAAATCTGCCATTTCTATTTACCTGATGGACTAAAAGCATGAAAAGGGTCTTTTTTTTTTAACTTATTTAACTTTGTCGAAACAGTTAATTCTAAGAAAAATGGGTTATGAACCCATTAGAATACCCCCCCCCCCCCCCCAATCCCCCCCCCCCCCCCCCCATTTCCCAACCAAAAAAAAATACTATTTTACAGAGGTCACTATTAAATTTGTTTAAAACATTTAAACAACTTTTAAAGAAATGTGTAAAGAAATATAGAAATATACAAAATGGGGGTAATCAATAGACAGATTAAAGCATTAAATGGAAAACATTTCCTGAGGCTTAAAAAATATGCATCAGGTGACCCAGTAACCTCTATCACTGACATTACGGGAAAAAATGATGTCAACATGGCTTTAAAAAAGTCATTTGATTACAAGAAAACTCCCATGAATGCACTTTTAAAAATAAATGTACTCATAATCTGACCCCCTGAATGCTGCACAGTTGTGAACACAGCCAATGGCAACAACTATGCGTCTCTTAAACACGTTACTGTAGAAAAGTTGGTAAAGTAACATTTACGAGGAAGTGGGTCCAATCAGAAGTGTTGGTTTTGCGGCTTCAGGGTTAAAAAATATGACCGTTGGGCAGGCAAGAACATGCAGGCACACATGCTAGCCACGTCATTACCAGAGTTAGTACCAAATTATATAAAACTTACTGTCACTCCTCCTTCTTGAAGCTTACAAGTAAAAAAAGAAAACCTGCTCACTGCTGAATACTTCTTTTGGCTCACATTAGATTATTCAACGAAAACAAGTAAAGAATGTCACATTATTTTTTCAAACAAACCCGATTATAATTGTTCATGTAGTTAAAAACAAAACAAAAACATACCTGGAGTTCTCCGTACAACACATCTGCTGATTACAAGGGGATGCACCAAGCTGAACAACCAGAATTCTGAACAAAATTGAGGCACAATATAAACATTAATAAGATTTTGCTGGTTAGAAAATCAAAATCATTATATGAGCTGCCCTAAACAAGGAAGCAATGGTAATGCAGCGGCTAGATGACTGTCTGCCAACTCAAAGGTTTTGGGTTCAAACCTGTATTGAAACACACTGTTATAGCTCATCCAACGGCTTCCTGGTTGACCCAGCTTAAAATGGTTACAGGAAAATCTCCTGGGAAGTAAAGGTGGCTGGCATGATGTTGACCACATCACCCATCAAGTACTATTTGATTTATTAAAAACTGTGTCCAACACCATATGTCTAATGTTAAAATGGCATAGAAGGTGTCGTTTATTTTACTGACTTCTTTCTATAAACAGAACTGAAATTAGTTAAGATACTTATAATTTGTTTTGTAAAATTCTGTATCAGCATTATCATTATCTCTTCATGCCCTGATATGTCATACAGGGCTCAAAGTCTAGTCTTCCATTCTGCTCCATCCAATATCATGGGTGGAATCCAGCTTAGCACTTTTGGCTTCTTTCATCAATGCTCATTTTAGGGTTTCTCTTAATGACAATAATTGTGTCTAAATGAAACATGTTACAAGATAAAAGAAATGACAGATTTATGAGACCTATTAAATGTTAAATATAAATTAAAAAAACAAAGTTGGGGTTGAGCTCACTGTCTTGGTAACGAAGCAGCATTTCACATTAAAAGGAACTCTAAATGCCAGAAACCTGGATAGCTCGCAATATATGCTTAATGTGAAATGGTAATGGAGGATAGCAGAGAGAAAGGGGTATAGAGAGACAGAAACTATAGAACAATCTTAAAATAATATCAAATAAAAGTAATTACATTTAAAAAAAAAATAATATATTATAAAAAAAATAATAATAATAAAATTGCTCCTTTCCTAAAACACAACAAACTTGACCATGTAAAGAAATGTGGATGCTTTCTCCCCATTATTTACCTCTTTGTTTGATCATTACTGGCAGCATATCGTACAGCAAGATCAATACTTGTGTCCTGGTGAGGGGCTTCTCCATTTGTAGGTCCATTCTTGTGCCCATGATGAGACTGAACTAGACACACACTGCTTTGGGCCTATTATGTATATTAAAACCACATACATTTATGGCATATGTTCAACTGAAACAATAACCATAATGATTAATTAATTTCTAAAAACCATAACATTTAGTTCTTCTTTTTTAATCCTACTGCTTATGCCATAAAGCGTCGTAGAGAGGAGTTAGACTTAGTTTCCTGTCTTTTTTAGTTGCGTAGCCTGTGTTAATGTAATATTGTGTTTCGATCATGTTTCTTTTGCTCTAGCTGCAGGCTGATTTTTATTCCTTTTGACCAGATGATCAAACCATTTGACTCTTTGATGCTCTGTGAAATCATATAACGGTAATGTGCCTAGTATTGTTTTCAATTTAAAAAAAAATTCTTTTAATTCATGTTTAAATAAACATTTTTAGAGCAAACTGCATTTAATTAAGCTTAAAACAGTGACAGTTAGGCTGACTTACGCAAAAGTCAGTTATGTTTCGGTACCTCATATAAAGCGATTGACAGGTACCAAAAATCTCAAACAAAATACTAATTATTTTTAACCAAGCCGCATAAATACCTTCGGAGGATTTGAGTAGAGAAGTAGTTAAGTTGCCTCTGAAAATTGTGGGTTCAGTTCTGGATTCTGTCCTTCAGTTTGCGACCGCAGGTGTTTTAGAGATACCTGGGTGTTGTTGTTTGAGCTATAAAGTTCATGATTAGTGCAATACTTTCAGGGGTAACCAGTTGCTCTATACAGTGAGATGGAGCAATATGAATACAACTCGGAACAATGAAGTTGCTACTTCTACATTCAAAAATATCCTAAATATTCTGCTCCACATTTGGGCCCCAGGGTCCTTATGAGGGAAGAAGAGGAGGAGGAGAAGGAAGAGGAGAAGGAAGAGGAGGAGACAGACCCACTTCCCCCTAACTGGCATGTCACAAAATAACAAAATAAAACAAACAATTACTAATGAAGGGTCTACTGAAACTGGATGTGTTGCATCAAATGGAGCAGAAATCAAAGTCTAGCTGTAAACCATAATTCAACACGCCAACTTCCCTTTTAAGGGTTAATGTAGAAAGAGAAGAAGCAGAATACCTTGTATTTAAAAAAAATCATTATGTATTATGATACTACAGCATTATAAACCAAACTATACCTTGTAAGACAATATTGAGTCTATGCAAGCTTTCACACAGTCAGAAACATCAGCAGAACCTGGTAAGTGCTCCTAAAACAAGAAACCAATGCAATTTTCAGCTTTTTAGGCATTTATATATACAATATATAGCTTTAAGTTCAAAATTAAAAGTATATAACTGCTCATTCAGTGGGCTAACTGGGTGGCTTGGTCACATGGATAGGGTGGGACAAGACCACCGACCTTATCCATGATCCTAATTGTCATGTGGGATGACAAACTATAACTGCCTAGCTTAATGGTATGAATGTCCATTATTATATTTCCTTAGCAGTCAGTTTTACAGACAGCAGGAGTCAGTACAAAATAAACAGATAACATCCAAAGTAAGGGTTACAAATGACATAACATAGTCATGAAGTTCCTTGCTCATTGGCATGGGTGAGATACTTTCCTACATCTCCAACAGCATGTATTAATTCCTAAACAGTCTTCCATGCAATGACAAAAGGCTGTTATGTAAAGAATCATCTGTTACTGTTTTTCTCTAACTCTCCTTCAATTAATCTTTCAACTGTCACAAAATGTTTAGTTTTTCTCATCTTTCAATGTGATCAAAAAGAACAAGGGCTTAGTTAGTTAGTCAGTCGCAGTGCAAAGTTCACAACACCCAAGTCACCTCATAATTTCCCTGTTCTTGTGCCAGCTAAAAACCACACAGAATGTCCATTGCTGGCCCTTGTGGAAAAATTGAAACAAACTGCTGTCTCAGCAAAGCCAACATCATACAAACACACTAAATGCATAAGGCAGCTGTTACCAGTTACCAACACAAACTTCCAAAACCAGAACCACAGTTCATTGTCAATGGAAGCAGCAGCTCAACAAATTAGCAATACAACAAGTGATTACTAACCTCTAAAGATATGCAGCGAGACCAGACAGTTGACTTTGTTAAATAACTATGTAAAGCTGACTCTTTGTTATCACTGGCAATGCTCACTCTGTCAAGAACAATCAAGCACAGCCGAATTATTATACAGCAAACATCAACAAGTAAAATGTCTCAAAAATAAAAGGTAAAAGGAGCAATAGTTTTAAAATAACTATCTGAGACAGAAGACACAATATAACAGGCGAATATAGTCAGGGATTTGTATGTTGACTACTTAAATCAATGTTTGTGACAATAGTTGGTCAAAATCCTACTTCACCTAGAAATGGTGTCCTAGAAAAGGCTGTACTGCTGCTGTCTGAGACAGCCGTTACTGATAAGGGAAAGCAAATGCAAATCTCAAACATATGCTGAAGAAAGAAATGTCTGAAAGGCGTAGCACAATTTTACTGTTAAAAAAAACCCATATGCAATCCATTCAGGAAAGAATGAGATCAAGACATTTCTCCCAGAAACTGTTAATCTGTTCTGTTGCTAGCTCGCTAAGCTTTTTTTAGGGATCAGATAAAGCAGCAATGCCGGTTTCGCCGTTTCCTAGATTAGTAGCTTCAGGGTGGCCAAAGGTTAAGAAGAAGCCAATAAACACTACATTATAGCAAGTAAAAAAAGCAACAGAATAATAAAAAAAAAATTGTCAAAAATAAGCTACCTGACAAAAATGACTACAAATAAAGGTCACTGCAGTCAGTTGAATATCAATATAAATAAAAAAATAAACAATACAACACAGAAGGTATATGGTGAACACTGATCCCCACAAAAGTGAGAATGCGATATTTATGAAGTTACTTGTCGAAATGGTCAAGAACTCCATTCTCACGGTGTTGAAATCTGGCAACCAGCATTCACAAATGAGGTCTACATGTATCATTCAGTGCCATTCTTCCTGATCTTTCGACAAAAGAAAATATAAAGGATACTGACCACAGTAGCACACTCCACCCCCAGGAGATGAGAACAGTACACCATGAGAGTACTTAACGTAACTATTATGGTTGATCTAGTTATAACTTCTTAGAAGGCTGTATGGGGTATCTGGGATCTGTATGCTGGACTGGTATCCTGTCTGCAATTGTTTTAGTTGTGACAATGAAGCTGTTGGGTGTCAAAATTTCAGGAAGCATCCCAGAGGGCTAGGCTGTTTGTCTCTGTCTTACAGATGTGTATAGTTTTCTAATTGTGTTACTTTTTACTAACAATCAAGGTCAATTACCTTTTAGACAAGTCTGGCAAAAGCATTTTTACAAACTAGAAATGTACCTGTGCTCTGCACAAAGCAGTGAAGTGTTTTTAATGAGGTCATCTAATAAGCTATTGTAGCTTTCAAGTCGACTGATGGCTGTTTCAGCAGCACATTCTTGAATGAGAGGAAATACTTCAGGTCTGGACTCTGGTGTTGAGAACTTGACATCTTGCCTGTTCAAAGTTTCAAAATAAAGCCCAAAAAGTTAAAGCCAAATAATTAAAACAAAACAAAATTTAAAATACAAACACTCTATCACGATAATATAAACTGGTTTTCGGAATGAATGAATAAACGAAAATAAATGAAGAAGTTAATCCCTGCATTCTGGACATTTGCACACGTGCTCTGTCCCCTATTTTCAGTAGCCAATGAGGAGTCGACATGCTAACAGTACCAGTTGCAACCTGAATAAAAGTCTGCCAATGTTTCCCCCTCATCGTTGAATATCTTCCAGAACCTCTACTCACTAGGCATTCAATTAGTCTTTCAATGTATGGATTCCCTATCTGTCTATTCAAAATTTTTTTTCGTAAACAGCTAGCCAGAGATAATTGCTTGACTACAAAACTCTTCCATAAAAAAATTATAAAAATTTTTCTCAAACAGCTTAGAGTCTCTAAACAATATCTCCCCCCCCCCTTCCCCACATGACAACAATAAGAAACTTTGACACCCACTGACTGACTGAGGCATTAGTTAGATATCAGTAGCAAATTCCAGATTCCATTTAACTATATAAAACAGTTATATTGTGGCACTCTATATCTTCACTAAGTAGCCTTCTGTCAAGTGTGGGTGAAGGATGAGTATCCATCAATCAGGTGCCATCCATATGATGAAGGTTGGCTGAAAATTATCTCCAACAAAGTCTGACTTTCACCCTCGATGGACCCTCTCTCAGACAGCTGTTCGTCAATCTCTTGATGTTATCCTCCCACTTGTATCGCTGTCTGCCTATTACTCTTTTGATTTTCAACTTCCCCTCTTCAATGGTTTTTATAAGCGTTATGGCTTATAGGGTGTCTGAAATATTTCACCCCCAACCCCCTTTTCAGCAACTCTCTTTTCATTTCTAGTCTTCCCAGAACCTCTGTACAACTTCTCGATTTGCAACCTGTGCAACTTACGACCATCTGTATTTACCACACAAAATAAGTAAATAAAAATAGTAAATAAAGAAAGATAACCACATTGGTAGGGTCAACAAGTTCCCGCAGCACGGTCTAATTGTACATATACAGACTGAATTTTTGTGTTTTATGAAACAATTTTATAATCCTTTTCAATAAAAATAGTTTTGAAAAATGTAAATTCGACTTACAACCAGTTCAACTTATGGCCTATTAGTCGTAATGGAACTCTGTTGGCGAGGAGACTCTGCATTTGACTGGTTTTTTTTTTTCATGAGATACAACCTATTCTGGATATCCACATCTCCAGACTAAATGATTTTATACATGCTTGTTGACCTTGTCGGCGTCTGTGGCCTAAGCTCTTTGAACGCCCTTTGTAATGCCATGATGCTGGGTTCGATCCCAGCTGCGGATAATTTGTCTTGCGCTGGTTTTGACAGTGGTACCAAGAGCTGACCATTCAGTGAGCAATGGCAAACTACTAAATGTAAAATTTGCCTAGAAAAACCACAACAGCCAAAGAATGCTGGGGTGGGTTCTGCAATGTTCTGTAAAGGATATCCACTAACTTTTTTGTTCACCTTCAAGGTGTCTGCGCCATTCAGCAGGGTTGAGAATACATAATATCTGACGATTCTGAAGGGTTTAATGTCTGTAAAATTAAGGTTCCTTTTCACACCAGCTGTGCATCAAGCATATGATGCTAGTCCCTTATTTTTATAGACCAATCAACACCGGATCGGTGGTATGGTTCACATCACGCCAGCTGCCCCTTTACTCCCCAGGCTTTGCCTTCTTCTTTGCGTTCGGTTTCGTATGCTCAGATCAGACCATCAGGTGGGTTGGCTCTATGAACTCGCAAGTCAGCAGCAGGTCCTTCATGGTTCCTCATAGCTTGCTCTGCACACTTTACTCTTGAGGCCAGGTGTCTTTTCAAAGTTGTAGGTAGAGTGGGCAGGTCTGCAGAATGTGCACAGGTGTTTGTGGTCCAGTTTGACAGGCACACTGTGGGGACTGTACAATCTTTATTTTATGCATGTGATAGTTGAGCCTGCAGCATTCTGTCTGTAGATGGAAAATTGTTGTATGTTGCTTTCTGTTGAGTTTGCTGATGTGGTCTTGTGGATATTTACTGTTAGTTTGTTCTCTCCACATTTCCTTGTATTTTCCCTTGATAAGTGTTCTGATTTCTGGTAATGACAATGAATGGGCGTGTTGTTTCTCCTTTGTTCCATTTTTTGCAAGTCTTTTCTGCTATTTCGTTTCATGGATGGTATGCCGCAGTGAACCAGGATCCACTTGAGAACAATTTGATTGTTGACTTCCCAGGCTAACTTCTTGAACCAATTTTAGACTGGGTCAACCCGAAAGCTAAGGTCATCTATAACTAAATTCACCCAGATGTGGATTTAAACCTTCATTCCAGCAATACTGCATTAAAAATCTGAAAAACAGTTACTTACACAGGTGGAAAATTCAAGACTTCAGAAAATGGGTAGCTATCAGCACAAACATCCCTGCCTTCTAAAAAATCCTGGTACCTTAGACTGCGCCAGAAAGGGCGAAGTACTTTGATGCAGTTCAACACTGATCCCACAACACTATAAAGAATCCAGTGTGGTAAAAGATTTTAAATTAAAACAAAAGATATAGCACCATGGCAAAGTCAAACAACTGAATTTTCAGGGCTGTTATTTGTAACTTTACTTCCTGCCAAAGTCATTAACATGAATTCTTACTCCAAATAGGTCAAAATGATGTACTACTTGTCAGGCATTATACACAATTTTCATTTGCCACAATCTGAGTTTTTAGAGAGGTCTCAATGTTAAATGTGATTTTCTTTAAACACAACTTAGAATCTGGGTGCTGGCAAAGTTCTAATGACATAAGCTGCTGATATTTGCTTATGCATAAATATCCATCTGAATATGAATAGGTTTTTTTTTCATGCACCATGAAGATGTAAGACAAACTAATTTCAGTCATCTGTTATTTGTAAGAAGGTACCTGACTCAGGAAAAACGCAAGATGAGTAGTTAACCAGCAAGATGAGTTAACCGAGCAATCCTCAGTTTTTGAATATCTTCTCTCTAGTGATTTGTCATGATTTTCTTTGCCAATACTCTGATCATTTGTCTGGCTTGGTGGATGAGCTGATGGGAGAATTTGATTTTATCACAATGAAATTCCTGCCCCTAAAAAAACTCTCCAGTTCTAGAACACTGTTCAGTAGGTCAAACCTTAAGAAAGTAACACTACAGCACTATTTCAAAACTGTTATGAAGCAATCTGACACAATTAACTCTGAGAACTCTTTTTTAAAATTCACTTCAGCAGCCTCCATTGCTGAAGCATCCTTGGCAAGGCTGGGACTGAAGTTAACTTACAGGCCATGAACTTTGCCTGTAGAAAACTATTGCCTGACAGGGTAGCAGTGCTTGAGTTACCATTATTTAAATTAAGGCAGGTCCACGTGAAGCAGACAGAGCAAAAGAAGAAATAGACACAAAACTGACACACACTTTACAAAGTGCGACAAAAATTCATCAACAGGAATGACCAACACAAATTCATCATCATCGTACTGTTATGTACTGTATGTTACATAGGGCTCACAATCCATTTCTCCATTCCATTATATCTGGCGAAATCAACTTAACATCATGGATGGAATCCAGTCCACATATGTTTTAGGGTTTTTTGGACGTCCTCGTCCTCAATCTTTTTATTTCCCATCCGAGTGCCTGTCTGGAGATTTTCTGCTCATTTCTTCTTTGTTTTATAACTGTTTTCACGACTGACTGCCCAAACATTTATCTTATTTCTTCACGCCTCTTGAATTCATTCAATTTTATGTCAACATTTTCCTCAGGAATTTGTTTTTAAAAGCATTTAATTTTCGCTCCATGTCAACACAGATCAGTATCAGTAAAACGGGAAAAAAAACCACACGTTATTACTGACGTTGGTAAAACAAAAACAGGATAAAATGAGGATATTTTACCTTTGATTTGGGGCAGAAATTGGTGCAATCTTTGGAGTTGGGTCTCCTAACAGAGCCCTTAAGCTAAGGGCAACTGACTCAGACAAAGACTTGAGATTGTATCCTCCCTGAAAATAATCATGCCAAAGATTTTTTAGTCTTACAGAATTGAAACATACAGCTTTGGCACAGGAGTTAGAGCAGAAACTGAGACAGTATGTCTTGACCTACAATATCAATGAGTGGAAGAGTAATGAAATGCATATCTTATAAAGAGTAACTAATGAATGTATTCTGAGTTCTATTGTAATGCATGCGTCAATTACTTATAATACACACTATCAGAAGCCTAAAAAAACATCCATACTAATAATAATAGGTTATATCAAAGGTCTGCTGCATGGACCATTGTGTTAGCCTACTGAAGATTGCAAAGCTGTTTTTGTTCAACTAGCTAGGCATGACAGCCTACAGTCAAGAAATATGCTGTTTTTGTACCAAAGAACAAGCACAAAGGACACGTGCAGTCAAAAACTCAGCAAAGTCAAGGTCATATGAATTTTTTTTTGACCAAATAAATCTGCACCTTTCGGTCCAACAAATCCAATTTCAACAGGTGTGGTGATGGGGGGGGGGGGGGGGGGGGGGGGGGGGGGGGTGGGGGGGGGGGGGGGGGGGGGGGGGGGGGGAAGGAATTAGATATTGAAAATTCTAGTCATGTTTTATTTTATTTTTAAATCAGAAAATCTAAAATGTCAAACAAGGAAGCAATTGAAGGAAACTATAACATACAATTATTTACCTCTAATGCTAGGACCAGCTTCCCAGAGGCCAATGGTGTCAAGAAATTAACAAAGTGTGCAAAACATGCAGGAGTGACTGCCATTTCACCCTGAATGGTAAGAAAAAAAAATCTGAAATCTGACCTACTTCATCATAATAGTAAAAAAAAAATTGAATGTCCAATAACTAAGATCAAATGATATTTTCATATCTGACTAAGATGGTAGAAATATTTGTGAAAAGATGTAATATATAACATTTTATTTTCATTTAATTTTGTCAGGCAGACTAGATAACAAAATAATCAAGAGCACTAATATTTTAAGTAGTAAAACTGTCTACAATCTAAGTAAATGATCTCTTTCTAAATCTTGCTTAAAAAACACTTTAAAAAAAAATAAAAATAAAGTTAATTTTAGTTTTACAGATAAAATTACAGTAAATAAACAATGGATACTGCAGTGATAATGCCTTCAACAGCAAAATGGTGACAAGAGACTATCTTTCCCCATCATGAGGCACATTAAACAAACACTGAGATATGCTGGCATTCCATGAGTGATGTGGCCATTTTTACTTCCAATAATATTTCCTTGCATCTAGTTTAGGTTGGCCAAAACATATATTTTCTTAATCCTTAATATTAAATGGTTAACAACACAAAATATAAATTCTGTATTGTCCTGCCTAATTTGAAATTGAGTCTGATTAAAGGATCCCACATGACTGCAACGCTTAGTGACAACATCACTTTATGGGATCTGAAAATTTCCACAGAACTGCACATTTCTTATAAATTAATAAACATATTTATATTTCTACTGAAAGTGTGTTATCTGGAAGGAAAACACAACTCAACATTATATTGTTTTATATACAAATATATTTTTTTACACTGCTTCAACCACTTGGTCATGCAAGTCAGATTAAAATGATTGCTTTCCTTGATATGGGAGTCAAAAAACATTATCTGGGACACTGGATATTTATCCTGGTTGTTCGTCCACTTCTTGAACTTAGTTTTGTTCCAGAACTTGAGTTTTGCATGCATATCTGTTTTACAGATCTGGCTTATTTGCACGCAGACTGCTGGTTACTTACCTCTCAGGCAAATGCACTCCAACTTCAAAGAAACAATCCTATCTTTGATGGCCAGACTCCCATTTGGGAACCTTTTTCCGAGTTGACCGCAGAGAGGTGTATAGAGATCTTGATAGCTATGAACACTGGTCTTAGTACACTGTGTGGTATAGACCTCTGTAACCCCCACCTCCCAAAGGATGATACTGCAGTGTTTCAAAACATAATTGTAAAAAGATATGCTGAACTTAAAACAATTGTACTCACTTCTGGGCACCCAAGTGCACAGTCATATCCAGCGGATACCAGTACCAGTTCTGGATCAAACTGACCACATGGTGAGAAAATAGAAAAAAAATATATACTAACAAAATGTGTGAAAATGTTATATATTATAGTACACATCTGAAAATTAAGCTGATACTACTCCCATCCAACACTTGGTTAGTGCACCCCCCCTCCCCCACCAACACTAAGATGGTCATTGACACCAAACCAGCAAACTGTGTTGGTTGATGCACCAATTTGTTAACACTGTGGTAGTTAGTGCACCCATTCACAAACACTGTGGTAGTTATTGCACCCATCCAACAACACTGTGGTGGTTACTGCACCCATCTACCAGCATTGTGATGTCTTGTGCACCCATCCACCAACATTGTGATAGTCAATGTAACCATTCACCAGCACTGTGACGTCTTGTGCACACATCCACCAATATTGTGATGTCTCGTGCATCCATCCACAAACCATGTGGTGGTTAATGCATCCATCCACAAACACTGGGTTGGGTTGTGCACCCATCCACAAACCCTGTGGTGATTAGTGCATCCATCCACCAAACTGTGGTGAATTATGCATCCATCCACAAACACTGGGGTGGTTAATGCATCCATTGACTAACACTGTGGTAGTTAATGCACTCATCCACAAACACTGTTGTGTTCAATGCATCCATCCACAAACCCTGTGGTGGTTAGTGCATCCATCCACAAAAACTGGGGTGGTTAATGCATCTATCCACAAACACTGTGGTGGTTAATGCATCCATCCACAAACCCTGTTTTGGTTAGTGCATCCATCCACCAAACTGTGGTGGTTTGTGCACCCATCGACAAAAACTGGGGTGGTTAATGCATCCATCCACAAACACTGTGGTGGTTAGTGCATTCAGCCACAAACACTGTGGTGGTTAATACATTCAGCCACAAACACTGTGGTGGTTAATGCGTCGAGCCACAAACACTGTGGTGGTTAATGCAATTAGCCACAAACACTGTGCTTGTTAATGCATCCATCAACTAACACTGTGGTAGTTAATGCATCCAGCCACAAACACTAGGGTGGTTAATGCATCCATCCACAAACACTGTGGTGGTTAGTGCATTCAGCCACAGACACTGTGGTGGTTAATACATTCAGCCACAAACACTGTGGTGGTTAATGCGTCGAGCCACAAACCCTGTGGTGGTTAATGCAATTAGCCACAAACACTGTGCTTGTTAATGCATCCATCAACTAACACTGTGGTGGTTAATGCATCCAGCCACAAACACTGCCATGGTTAATGCATCCATCAACTAACACTGTGGTGGTTAATACATCCATCCAATAACACTGTGGTGGTTAGTGCATCCATCCAATAACACTGTGGTGGTTAATGCACCCATCCATTAACACTGTGGTGGTTAATGCATCCATCCATTAACACTGTGGTGGTTAGTGCATCCATCCAATAACACTGTGGTGGTTAATGCATCCATCCAATAACACTGTGGTGGTTAGTGCATCCATTCATTAACACTGTGGTGGTTAGTGCATCCATTCATTAACACTGTGGTGGTTAGTGCATCCATTCATTAACACTGTGGTGGTTAGTGCATCCATTCATTAACACTGTGGTGGTTAGTGCATCCATTCATTAACACTGTGGTGGTTAGTGTATCCATTCATTAACACTGTGGTGGTTAGTGCATCCATTCATTAACACTGTGGTGGTTAGTGCACCCATCTACAAACACTGCGGTGGTTAGTGCATCCATCTACAAACACTGTGGTGGTTAGTGCACCCATCTACAAACACTGTGGTGGTTAGTGCATCCATCTACAAACACTGTGGTGGTTAGTACACCCATCCATCAATACTATAAAAGCTTCTGCATCCATCCACAAACACTGTGGTGAAGAGGGCAACAACCCACAAGTCTACTGATAAATATTATTTTGCAAAAATTAAACATAAGCAACAAAACTATGGTTAGTAAAATGTATAAAAATAAAACGTGGAAATATATAGAAATAAAAATGTCACTTTAGTTAATATATAAATTCCGCAAACACATTGAAATGGCTTACTTCATAAAACACAGGCAGGAGTAAATTGAAGAAGATGGATAGGTATTCATCATTTCCAAAGCCAATCTGTAAGAAATTAGTAATTTTAAGACATCATTAGCGAAATAACTCTCATTCTCTCTGTCCTTCTCTCTTTCTCCTTAACTTTCTTATGCACACATACACACACACACACATGAGTGAGCACTTATGCAAGTGTACGATTGCATGCATAGAGATGCAAAAAAAAAATACATCTATACATCTAGCAACGTCTGAACACAGAGTTACCATTTGTTTATGTTATTCAAACTTGTATTTTTAATTGACTGTTTTTATTATTTCATTTTTTTGCTGTTTGTGTGCTCCTCTTTTAATCTCATTTATATGTGTGTTCCTCTTTTAATCTCATTTCTATATTTTAAACTCTGTAATTACTTTGTATCCATTTACTCTTCAATAATTTTTTTCTCATAAGACCCTTTCAATGGGCATATGAGTCTAGACTCATTTTTCTGTACACCTGGCTGGCATTAGGTGGTCAACATCAGGCCAGCTGCCCTTACTTCTCAAGACTTGACCTGGTTCCCATTATAGTTTGGGTCAACCTGAGATCCAAGACCTTTTTTTTTTTTTTTTTAGTTACAACATCTAAATCAATGTAGATATGGACTCAAGATCTTTGGACCAGCAGGTCAGCATCTCTCTACTACACCTCTCCATTTCATTTCACTGCTGTCTTCATACAATCAGGCAGACTACCAGACTGGAGAATTATACAGTAACAACTGGTGAAATGGTCAAGCCATTCACCTCAGGCTCTAGTGGCTGTGTCATTCAGTTCACCAGTGCAATTTTTACAGAGATTCCTGGGGATTGTCACTAGAGCCATGGAGTTTATGTTTTTGTGCAGCGCACTGGGCAAGTGGTTAGTCATTCTGTGGATAGAGACTGAGCTTAGCCATATTAAATAAAATCTGGTGCAATGAAGCTGATTCTCTCGACTGTAAAAAATTTTCAATCGATTAAATGAAAGCAAAATAAATTAATCATAACTAAAACATAAAATCACTACATTGAAAAATGAGCTTGTTTCCTAAACAGGTTTTAGGTATTTCACTGTAAACAGCCTCCAACCCCATCTATGCATGTCATAAGAGGCAACTAAGGCAGGTTGGTGTGAGAGTGGCTATCTTACTTCACAGAAAACTTAACTGCAAATTCCAAGCAATCATTAAAAATGTCCCAAGGGTCTTGGGTTGAAATCCATACCAATTTAGATTTGTTTCAAAACTGACTTTGGCTCGCACGGCGACCTAGCTTACATTTTTAATTTCTTTCTCTAGTCAGTGTTTCCAGCCCTGTGTGCTTTCATAGCCAATGCATTTTAAATATCCTGTATTCACCTTTACCGAGGTCAGCCTCTGCCTCATTTCCTGGAAACTGGTCTATAAAAAATAAAAATATATGCCCGATGCACCATCGGCAATAAAAAGGCTCTTCAACTTTACTTACCTCATTAAGTGGTACATTGATTGTGTAGCCTTTGCCTGGACCCTCACCAATGAAGTCGTAATCAGACTCTCTTAGATACGGCCACTCTTCCCCATGTTCGTAACGATGAATTGAGACAAATAAAACTCTATAAAAGGAAAAGGTACAATTGTAAATTTAAAAAATGCCAAGGCAACCAGA